ACTTGAGCAAGATTTACCCCTTTTGGCTTTGGTACCTACACCAGCCCTTTTTTACTTGTTCACTGCAAAATTTACTGAACCTTCAAGAATACTCTCAGAAGGAGCCAATGGACACTGAATGTAAAATGCCAAAAAACCTAAGAAGTGTTCTTAATAAAAAAGTAAATAAATTTTTAAAATGTGTTAGTACTGTCCTGTCATACATGGGAACAAGACTGTTATTACATCTTAATGTTTATGGTTTTATTGTTTTTGTTTTTTGACTTAACAGACTTTATGGTTAGATTTGGAAAATACAAAATTCCGTAATAGTCTGTTACATAATATAATGCCTATTACACTAGAAGCCTGTTAGGAAGCAGCCTTTCTCAACAGTTCAGTTATTCTTTAGAGCAAAATTATATTTCTGTGTACCTAGCAATGTGTTGTTCCTGTTTTACTAAGAAAAACTTAAGTATAATCTAAAATCCTTAGCAGTGGCATAATCATGCACGCCTGTTATGTTTCAATTAGTTTTTCCCCTATAATGAATTATAAAGACATACATACTTGTGGGGTCTGATAAGTATGCTATTAGAAATAAAATACGTAGTTTTTTGTTATCTATTTATTTTCACCAATACAGTATTTTGATATATTACAAAAATAGAGCATAATTTATATAACAAGTTTTCCGTTTATAGTTTGGTTGAAGAATTGTTTGGATTATTGTTCCTGTAAACAAAAACAATAATAAAAAGCTTAACAAAAAAAATCTCAAATGTTCTGATACTTAATTGTTTTTGGCCACACTAATTGTGGAAGTAGTTCAAAATATTAAGTAGTTAGTGTCTCTTTCCCAAATGAATAAATACACGTTCTCATATATTCCGTTCCTCTTATATCTCATTTTTGAGGGGTATATATACATGCCATATTTTATTGATTCTGAGACACTTTTTTTTCACAGTATATCTCTGAATAAGGATGCATCTTACAATTGATGGCTTGTTAGATTTAATGAAATATGAATATTTACAGTATAAAAAATAGTTTTCTTGAGGTTGGTTTGTGATAGATGTGCTGTGATGTTTATGCTCTGATGGTGTCAAGAGACTCACGGTTGCAACCATGGAAGCAAAATAATTTTTAACAGTTAACCTAATTGACAATGTTTATCCATTTGTATCATGGAGAAGGTTATTTACTGATTCTGCTATTTGGTGGGGGTTGAACAACTTAGTTAAATCTCAAACTTTTAAGACTTCTGTTAACAGTTACAAAATATGAAAGTAAGTATACTCACTTTTCCTGTAGTTTTGTTTATGCCTTTTGAATTCACAGCAGTTGTATCCTTGAATTATTTTGTTAGTTATTCTTTGCTAATGCCTGTTTCCCAGCACATTTAGCTGTTGGGAAATGGACTCTTTTGGGATGTCTGCGTTTCCTCTTTTCTGTAAGAACAGAAATAAAATGTAAAAATTCTATTTGTATCTCACACAGGTTTAAGTGCCTATTATTGTCCATTAAAATTCTGAGTTGCCCAAAGAATCCTCATTTGGACAATTGTGTAATCAGGAGTAGGTCAGGGAGAGGGTGTCATTTATCTGATTACCAATAGTATATCTTCTGGACTCACACTACATTTGGAGCCATTTTAATAATCATCTCCTCAGATGTCCTATTCTAGCAGAAAAATATGTATGCAAAAGGAGAACTCATGCAAGAAATTATGATTATAAGTCCTCAAAGGCAAAGAATTCAGGAATACTTAATACATATCTGCATTTTTAATTTGTTTTCATAAGAACAAAACTAGAGAACAATTCATAGCCACTGTGGTTGCTAATGTTACTAAAGTTGTTAAAACGTGGTGATTAGGGGCCGGCCCGGTGGCGCAATGGATAGTGCGCCGCTTGGGAAGCGCGGCGGCGCTCCC